TCGATGCAAAATCATGTTTGTAGAAGGTGGCCCTTTGAGTGCATAAATCGATCTCTTGTGCTTGGGCTCCTCTTTTGTTTTCTTACTTCGTCGCATGTAATCCCTGTTCGAGTGCATCTCACAGGTTTCGCCCATTTTCCTTCCCAGTTGCATTGCCGACTGGCGCGCGGACACTAACTCAATTTAAATGGAGAGGGCGAATCGGATCTACAACGGTTGGGACATTTAACTAAACAAGAAAAGAAAGGGAGACGTTATCGATTAGGACACGCATCGGAGGGGCGGTTTCACAATCGGCAGTTAATTTTCCGAGAACTCCTTTCTCTCCTCAATTCACAAACGTATGTACACAAGTCAATAAGAAAAAAACACCAAGGTGAATTACATATATATTTATCGGAACCTTTTTAGCGCTAACTTTAGATCATTGTTCCGCATAAACCCCCTGCAAACTGATGCATTCGTCCCATCTTGCTATAAGCCTCCTAATCAGACAGCAAATATTTTTTGGACTGATGTTGCAGGCATTTTCGGGACAGCGTTCACTACAGCGTCGTCGTCTGCAAAGCTATTTCCTCGCAATGTCTCTTTTAAGGGACCGAATAAATACTAATCGGATGGTGCAAGGTCAGAAATACAGTATAAAGTGAATGTAGCAGAACCTCCCATCCAAGGTTGCTGATGGTTTCCATGGTTTTTGTCGATACAGATCACTCGTGTAATGTCGCCCAATCTCCAGCAGTTCCACCAAAGTATACACATTACGGCGGTTCATGCAGTTACCTCCATTTAATACTTTAATTCGAAGTGGTCAAAAGTTGTGGTGGTGCTCGTGGTCGTGGCTGTCCCCCCCACGTGCGGGTCCACGATGCAATTCCATTCTGGGTCATAAGTCAGGCCATCCACGGCCTAAGGCACAAGGCTTACAAGGCTGCGCCTTTTCAAGCCTTCATATACACTTTAAATCAAAGACCTCGAGAATTGTAGTAGTTGCCACCCTACCGCGCGAGGGCTACGAGACTATGACATTTCATGCCATAGGCCACCCACCCCTAAAAGCGCCATGTCCAAGAGGCTATGTTATTCTAGGCCATAGGCTAGGCCATCTAAAGCTTTTTGAGCTAGGTCTATCGAGCTCAATGAATCTGAGCTATAGGCTTCATACTTAGCTGTATCAATCAAAGGGTGGTAACAACTGAATGCGTGTCATATTTACCCTGATCGACTGCAAGTTCTTCATTTGAATACATTCTTTGCTACGGTGTTATTTTCTGTATTTTCTTTCCGTTAGGTCAGGCGTGGCAGTTCGGGACATCACTTCCATGGAATAGTTCTCTGCGTTTCATGTCATGGCCAATTCCTTTGAATTCTCATGATTGATGAAATCAAAATAAATTTTCTGTATTTTCTTTCCGTTAGGTCAGGCGTGGCAGTGCGGGACATCACTTCCATGGAATAGTTCTCTGCGTTTCATGTCATGGCCAATTCCTTTGAATTCTCATGATTGATGAAATCAAAATAATAACGTAAGTTCTTTGTTTCATACGTCGCGTATACGGGCTGCTCCTCCCATCAAAATTGTGGAGATTTTTGCGAGGTGAGGCTGAACGTGTAAAAAAAGGCGAAAGAGGTCCCACAGGACGGCGATGAGGCAGTCGCTGCAAATAATAAACGATTGGTGCTGGCGCGGAAACAACGTTTGCCGTTGCATTTGCGGTGCGAAGTGCCTAAATCGGTTCTTTAGGAGGTGGTAGCCGGAATGGCAAGAATGACTGAAGAACGTTGCACGTTGGGAGTGTAAGGCTGAACAGCAACAGGCAGCGAATGCTGAACTCTGAAGTAGGGGAGCCATGTAGCCTGCTGGGGAAATTGATGTAAGGAACGCAGCACTCAGGTGTCGAAAGCCGGGGTTGCGGCCGGGAATTGAACCCGGACCTCCTGCTTGCCGGTCAGATGTGCTACCATTACACCACGGAATTCGTGACATGTTGTCAGGCCTCACCATGTCATCTCAAAGCGCTACAGTCGTTTGCGTAGCGAGCACTGTCAGGCTGTACATTTTGATGTAGGGTACATTTTGAGGCAATTGTCTCACAGCGAAAAAATGCTCCTGCTGCAACTCACACTTTGCCTTGAGGCTCTGAAAGTGTTGCTCATTGGTGCTAATGTGGTGGCGAGGCATTTTCTGTAATTTGTCGCTAGCATTGTGACGCAAATGTAATAAATTCAATCCTGAAAGCTCGAAATCTTACGGGAACGTCGCCACGCGGACCTAAAACACAGGAAAGAATTGTCACAAAAAGGTTCTGACTAAAGGGTCAGTGTGTGATTTACTCGGAAGTGCTCGAGCATCCAACTCAGGAACCGCTGATGATCCCACAGTTGTGACCATGTTCACTCGAAGTCCAGGAAAAGTCCGTCTGCAGTGTAGCCCGAGAAAGTGGACTGACCCCTTGCAGTATCCACGGCTTCTTGAACGAGGACTCACGCTGGCGCGCTTGGAAGCCACATTACGTACAGAAACTGCACTCGGAAGACTGTAACATTTGCATGGAATGTGCGATATCCACGTTTGGATGGTTAAAGGTCGACCCTGGTATCGTGGGCAACATTTTGTGTCGAGTGACGAGGCCGTCTTACACGTCGGCGGTTTCCTTAACTTTCACAGTAGCCATTTCTGAGCACGTGGGGACACTCAGATAACTGGGAATGGCACAAGGACGACCGAAACTGACAGTTTCGTGTGGAATGGCAGTAAATGGGATTACATCTTTAAAGACACCAGGAAAGGGGAACGCTACCTCACAAATCAATTGGAATTCTTGTGGCCATTCATTTCCAGTTGAGAGAACATTCCGAATATGCACTTCATACAGGTTGGGGCACTGCATCATTTTACACCAAAGTTGCGTGATTGTGTTCCTGGGGAAAATAATCACGCAAGTCTTGGAAGTCGATCGGGGTGGACGAGGACCCACCGAGTGGCTGGCCCGAAGTTCAGATCTTACTCTTTGTCATTTTTTTATGTGGGGCTAAGCGAGTGAGAAAAGTTTCCTACCCAAAGCCGAGAACTTTGGAAAACATGCGAGAAGCAGCGTCGATGTGCTTACCAACGCCGCCGACATTTTCTTCAGAAATCGAAAGATATCGTGGCTGTAAAATTCCGTTTTTGTGCCGCCAAATATGGTGCTCACGTGGAAATATAATTACATGATAGACACAGAACCACAGTTGATTGCATCACCTACTCAGAATAAAATGACTTCCAATCGAATTAATCCTTTAACGATCCTACTACTACGTACTATTTGGAGTCTTGTTTCCACTCCTCTCTGTTTTACTTACAGATCTCCAAATATTTCAAGAACTGGGCGATGACACGACTTTTCTCTCAGACCATGACTTTATTCGTAATGGTCAGTGGCGGGTCGACGATGCATGGAATCTTCTATGTTGCTTTGCAGTATTTTGTATCCTCGGTCTTCTCCCTGATCCAATCCATTGTTCTTCCTAGAAGGTAGAACATCGTTTTTATCTAACATCCGTTGAAACATGTTTAAGTTACGGAGAATGGAGATGAAAACGGACCCGTTAGACGGGCATATCCAGACGGGATTTCGGGATCGCAGCCCCGAATGGCCCACGACGTCACTCCGACGAGTGTGTAGATGCATTTCCGACAGTCTCCCTCGAACTCGACATAGCATTCTTTTGGCATCGTGCATTGATATTGAACGTCCCGGAGAACAGTTACCAGGCCAGCACCTCCATCTCCCTAAATAAAAATGTATACGATCAATTCCAGTCGGTAATATATTCGAAACAAAAGCCTCGATTCCTATCGTCTTCTCCGAGGACGCACGTTGCAGACTTGTCTCTTTCCGTGAATGGCACATATCATAGTGTTTCTGTCGTAGAAATTGCCAACCGTTGCTTCGCAGTCGCCAGGAGGAATCAACCTCATCTTTGTTACTTTTTCTCTTCGCGGCAGCGCACCAGATCTCAAACCACCTGCACGGCAACGAATCAGTGAGGAGGTGCAGCCTAACCGATGAAATAACTAATTTAGGTTCCCGAGTGAATGATGAAACGACCTCCGCGTATGAGGCCCCAACCAGTGACGAATCCTACTTGGTCTTCCTTGTCGAAAGGCTCCTCGTCTTCTGGAAGGCAGATGGGACGAATGTTGGGGCATTTACAGACGGGGACTTCCTCGGCGAGTCTTATTAGAGCGACGTCGTTCTGGTATGTGTCGCTGACGAAGTCCGGGTGGATGATGAACTCCTCGATCCTCCTGTCCAGTTGACACTCCTCGGGCTCGAGCCTTTCGTGATCGCCGAGGGAAACGTAGAATTCGGCCGGGTTTTCTCTGGCACACAATGGAAGAGTAAATGTTGCTCAATTTCCGTGAAAACTATTGCATTTGCATTCGACATGGAAATACGCTACACCAGCGGCTCTAAAAGGTTTTNTGATACCGTCGAGGTTCCGCACAGAAGGACCCGTGGGCAGATGTCCTCGAAAGCCAAGTCATCACGCCGGTTGAAAGCCGGGAACGAAAACGTTCACGGAAGAAGACGGAGAGCCGATAGCGCGAACTCACTCGTCGGGAAGACGAGAGGACGAAAACCTACCCGAAAGACGGGCGTATCCAGACGGGATTTTCGGATCGCAGCTCCCTTTCGCCCACGACGTCACTCCTGCCAAAGTAAAAACTGGGGATCTCGAGCACTCTCCTTCCTTTGCGTCCGCAGGTACTCAGCCCTCCGTTGGCTCTTCCCGTGGATGTCGAGTGTATCTGGTTATCGTTGCCAGCCCCGCTCCTCCGTCTCCCTGAGGAATTCGGTCCCTCGTTTCGGTCGACCGATGACATCCGAGGAAGGAAAGACCCAAGCCAGAATGCTACGGGGGAACTCACGTTGCAGACTCGTCCCTCCCGGCTCGAGGCACAGATCATCGTCTCTTCGTCGTAGAGAGACCCGATCACTTTGGAGCAGATGTCAGGAGGGAATATATGAACGATCGTCATTTTTTCCTTTCTCGGCAGCGGCCCCACCTTCAATCCACCTGAAGGGCCGCAAAATGTAAATCAGCTCCTACGTCTTCCCACGACCACGTCTTTTTACGAATGCATAAAATCGGAGGGATCTCTTCGTGGAAGGCCCCAGCCAAAGACGACTCCCTTCCTGATCGTCTCGTCGAAATGCTCGTCGGTTTTCGGGAGGCAGATGGGACGAATATTGATATAGTTGAGGTAGGAAGCCGGATCGTCCAGGAGAACGACCGCCAAGTCGTACCGGTGAGTGTCGATATCGAAGGCCGGATGGATCACGATCTGCCCGATCTTCACGTCCAGCTGACCGGCTTCGGGTCCAAGTCTATCGTGATCGCCCAGGGACACGTAGAACGAGTCTGGATCTTCCCTGGTGCAAGAAAGAAGGCTCGCATTTTTGCGCGTCGATTCTGCGTCTTACAAAATGCAACACTTCTTGCGTTCAAATACGAGGAGCACTCAAATTTGTAGATGAGTTCCATGCCAAACAGATCTCGAAATCGATCTACCGTCAGTCCGAACGGATCCCTGTTTGTCTGAACTCAGTGGCCACCCGTCCAAAAGAGACTCATAACATACCATCACCCAAAACAAACATCCCTAATTGTTGATGTATGGCTCGCCGACATAAAGTTTCGGTGGCATCATAGAAGCCCACTGCCGAGGAAGCCAGCCCCGACTCAACCTCATTAGCATGTACTCGCCAACCCATTAAGAAAATACTTGTGTTAGTCTAATTCACGTCATGCAATGGATTCAAGATTTCAAAATGTAAAGAATGAGTTGATTCCACAGTGCATGTCATACCTTCTGCGAAAAACATGAGAGAGAGAAGTGGTCTCATATTTCACAGCTAAGTATAGCTATAGTGCCAACGCAATGTGGGCGAGCCCGGGATCACGAAAACATTTCATTTTGACGCTAGCGTACAGTGTATCATCCGATCGAAGATATCGTTCCTCCAATAACATGTTTAGGACGGTGACGAAAGGAGAGTGATAGCCGACGTACATGTAAACGCAATGGGCGGCCGTGAGGACGGAGTGACCGTTGACGAGGGTCCCCCCGCAAACAAACTCCCCGTCCCTCGTCTTGAGAGCCGCGGTCCAAGGCCAAGACCCGGGGACGGTCTCGCCTTCCGCGAAGACCTCCTTCTCCGTTTCGTTTCCCGTTCCGACGGCGGGACGCGGGGTCAGACCGCAGTCTGGATGCAGAAGTCGCAGTGAAAGGTCTCGGCGATGCGTTTCGCCGAGTTTTAAATGGGATTCGTTTCGTTAAGAAAAAAATTATTGAATGCGTAATGGTATTCTCCAGCTTCGTATTACATTTGTACTCGGTTACTTCCCGCGTTCATTTCTTCCATTTTTCCAGCATCTTCAAAAATAAGAAATTCGAAGAATACTAATAAATCATCGTTGCTTTCATCTATTGAAACCATGCACATACAGTAATACCACGGCGGAAGAATTCCATTTCCCAGGACGCCAGCGAAGTAACGTTTGGGTCATTAATGGGAGTCGAGGGTCATTTCAGGCTCTATTCTTCTCACCGTATGCAATGGAATCTGCGCACTCACAGCAATCTTTCATGATGGGAGGTACTCGCTCGCAGAACGGAACGTTCCCCGTCCATTTCCCGCTCTCCGCGCAGGTCCGAAACCGGGATCCCCTCAGGACGTAGCGATCGTCGTGTTCCGTTATGCTTCCGACCGCGTACTTGCCCTCTTCGATGCACTGGGTGTTGCTTCTTTCGGCGGCTCCTTCGCTTGCGTTGCTGAAAGCAGTTCCACAACTTTTATTTCACGGCAGGCCATTTTCGCAAGCACGGAGAGAGCCTGCCGCGAATCTTTGCGATTCGGTTCCTCACCTCGAGAAAATATCCGAGCAAGACGTTAGCATGAATCCGTTTTGCAAGGCAGGAGGTTCTTCGCATCCGCTCGGACCCAAGACTGGAAGAGACAGATCTCGAGTGCTCTCAAGAATCTTTCAACATTTTTTTTCACTCAAGATCGTGGCAAAACACATGGGCAGTGATGCAGTAGTTCATGCATTCGTTCCATGTTTCGATATTTATTTCACGCTTTTTTTCGCGGAAGAAATCCGCATCGAATTTTTTTTTTGACTAATTCTGCACCATGAATCCAGAACAATTTTTCTATCCTAGCAGTATAAAGGGTGTCTCAGAAGCTGCGAAATATTCTAAATCGCAATTTCTCGGCGCCCACTTCAAGGATCGAAACCTTACATCTCATACAGCAGTGAAAGCAGAATGTTGGGGGAATTTATTCGACACATGCACGAACACCATGAGTAACAATGCGATAAATCGAAGATGATTTTCATGTTTCATCGTAAATTGTTCTTCATGATGCAGAGATCGTTTTCATCCATGCGATGGACGCAGAGAAACTGCGATTTACACTCGTTCGCAATTTCTCATACTTTGAATTTCATATATTTAATTTCCTTAAAATCATCCCAAAGAGTCCATGCGCATGCATCAACCACTCGCCGATGAATCGATCCATATCGGTACGAAATTAATCTGGCCTTCTCAAAATTCAAGTATGAAAGCCGGCGTTAACGATGACCAAGGTCAAATGAAGCCGTTCGACCGACAAAGAATTCGCTTCTACTATGGAAACCGACGGATTCACGCCGCGATCGCACCTGTCGGTCGGGGCGTCGTCGTCGTGGCGATCGATGGGAAGTTCGGCTGGCAGCACAGCTCCTGATATCGGCAGCCCTCCACCTTCGACAAGATGACTGGATTGCAGAGGGGGAAGAGGCCGATCTGGACGCACGAATAGGGGCGGGGCTGAAGGCACTCTAACTCGTCCCAGCTGAATTTATGAAATTCGATTCCGTTTCGACACTTCCCGCCGATGCTCTTGGAGAGTCGGTCGTTCGTTAACCATTCGGCATGACAATCGCAGGGAATGGTATTCCCTGCTGGGTTCCCTCCTTCGGGGGAAAATGCTGGACAAATCGACATTTGACTGGATTTTACTTCAATTCCTCATTTATCGCGTGACGCAAAATAACGGGTTTTGGAAGATCGTGGAGTGTTGCGAGTAAAACCGAGAAACTCACAATTTACGTTGAGGATCCCGTAGACTTGTAGAATGGACTGGAAGCTTTCCTTCGTGAAAGTGGCGATATTGTTGTGCTGTAGATCGACATCCGTGTTGGGTGTCATACACTCTTAGAAAATTCCGAATGTTTGGGGAGTAAAAATTGAGCACACCGTGAGCTTTTCGAATTTACTCTCTTATTACTCACCAGATGCTCCGTCATCGTTCGTATTGAAGTGAACACCTTGAAGTTCTTCATCAGGCCACTAGATGGAGGTAAGGGTCTCGCTTTTCGCACAAAGTGAAAGGGGGGTGAAACTGGAGTTAGCTATTTTACTCTCTTTTTTGGGAAAAATCGCTCCCCTTTTTATAAAAGTGTACCTAGAATGAACACGAGGTTTCTTACGTTTTCCACTCCCGACTTCAAAACTACGCGGAAGAACTGTGCAGCGTTTGGGATTGACGATATGATAAGCCAAGAACGCATGCGTTGAATTGCATCTCGACGCAGTATTGTGCACTTGCAAGACGGACCACTTCCGTAATGCGATTCGGGGTGAGCGTGAAAACAGTGAAGGCGTGACCAGAGCCCACGTTTCCGTTTCTGGCCCTGTCATATCTCATCCACGGAGCATAAATGAAAATATACTTAACCTCGCCACGCCTGCCTTGCATATCTCGTTCAATCAAGGGAATTGTTCGCGTTCAATCAAGGGAATAAAGCGTAATTTTTTTTAAATTATGTAATTTTAAAATTATTAAAAAACGGACACAACTTATGTTAACACCTTATATAAGGTGTTAACATAAGTTGTGTCCGTTTTTTCCAAATGAAGAGGACATAATTAAAAAAAAATTACGCTTTATTCCCTTGATTGAACGTGAACAGAAGGAGGTGTCGAAAGTGCTCACTTTTGTCTACTTGACATTCCATTTCGAAGACCTATAATTAAATAAAATAATAAATGTAACTAAAGGCAAACACAATATCTTGTGGAGCAGAAAATTTTCTTTCAAATGACGTATAACGTTTGCCAATGTGTTTTACTTTTGGCACACATTTTTAAATCAGAAAAAAACGGACACTACTTATGTTAACACCCAATATATCATACAAGGAGTGATCGGTGTCGTTTGGAATTCATCTTCTTGGAATTTGAAACTGACCTCATTAGAACATCATCTAGAACTTTAATGCAAGTTTTTTCCCCCCCAAAAAAATTCCGCTAAAATATATAGCGGTTGCTATTGCAAATTTTCAGCCAATGAAAATGTTTGAATTAAATTCCACTTAAAAAATGTTCATCACAATACAGAGTTATTGGCCGAATTAAAAGAACAATGAATAGAACTGGGATACTTAAGAGAATGTTTATCTGTTCACGAATTTCCATCAAGTTTCAAACATCGATCAGACTAACGATTGCTTCGAACCTGCTGATATGTGAGACCTCATGCCTTTTGACTTGAAGGCATTTTCGGAAAAGGGACATGTCGCTCTCCAAAAGTCCTATTAATAAAGGCCTGAAGGCCTACTTCCCACGACCTTTGATCTCCGAGAAAAAAAAGGAATAATGCATTGCTAAACGTTTAGACATACGAACTCGGATAATTCGGAAACCCTCGAGTTCTCGGGCAAATGAGGAAAGCGGTTAATGTGAAACATTTTGTCCGTTTTTCAAGCCCAGTCGATTGACGTCTGCAGGGTGTCACTCAAATCTCAACGCCTTAAAATAATTCATTGTTGGTCGAGGTGGAGAAAACGATCTGGGTTCACGTCTCCCAGAGAAGAAGCATCGAAAGGGCAATAATATTTTACTCGCGAAAAATCCTGTCCCTACATTCAGGTCAAGAGTTTTATACGACGCTTGTTCACGTCCACCGGCGAAATTTATTCAGGAAATGAGGAAAATTTTCGCCTACTGCATCCACACCATGAAAGTTGAGGTTAGCGCAGCTCATGGCAGCAGATGGCAAAGGAAATTTTTTGCAAATGGATCGAATTTGTACCGAATCTGTGCTCTCGGAAACCAAAAACTCAAAATGTATGTCTGTAGGATACGGATTTTGCACGCCCTCTCACTTAGTACCCACCCCACCCTGAAACGGCAACACTGGCGAAGTTTTTTCTCCCAAGTCGCAGCGGCACCCGAAATGGGGAATACTTTAGGACGCAGGAGGTTTCGCAGTCGTCCCCACATCTCCGAATTCGGAGCAGGGAAATTATTATTCTGGCCCGACAGATATTTGGGGAGACTCGCATCTACGATCTGAAGGGGAAAAGGGGCTGGACAAAGACTGGGAATCCTACCTGTGATGGCTCCGGGCTCCGACCTGACGATTTTATTCCAAGCGAGATTCACCACCTTCAAGGACTCGCTGCGGAAATTGATGAACCCGCTCGGAATGTTCGGTCCCAGGTTGCATTCCGCGCAAGCGAACTCCTCCAGTCTCTCCAATCCATTGATGACATCCGAAGGGAACTCCGAGAAAGGATTCCCATCTGTATGGAACACGAAGGAGAGAATCTCGAGGTGACTGTCACCTATTGAACTGGGGATGACCCCTATTTCAATACCCGACGGGGAATATACGGATGTCGGGTTCGGTCCGGCAAACTCAAGAATGAAACCCCAAAATCCAAACCAAAACTAATAGAGATTGCTATGGCCATACTCTTTATAACTCTTTATAGCTACGTCCACTGTATGGGGAGTTCCTTCATCATCTTCATATCTATATTTAGGCATAAATACATTTATGGAATCCCTTTTTCTAACTACCCGATGCTACATACATTTGTCTAAGAGAAAACACGTGATTCATGAAGGCAGTTCATGACTATTTACCTTCCTGCTTAGTTGAAGCGTGAGCTCAGAAATGGCATTAGTCCAAGCGTCCTGCATTGGGGATAAGTCATTCTGAATTGGAAAGTCCTCCTTGCCGATTCCTTGCTACAATAATACATGAAACAAATTCGCATCCACAAGCATACCGGGGCGCATGAACCCAAGTCTTTCCACCTAGCCTACGACCTAGAAAGGCATAGAGCAAAGACCTCGCGCCGCATGCGAAGGCAGCGAATTTCCCGTTCAAATAGGCCGAAAAGGTTCTTTAGCCCTTTCAGACCTGAATTAAGGCCGCTATCGGAAAAATATCATCATGTTGCATTTTGGAACTCGTTGGTGATTTTAATTGAAAATTGCATGCTTTACATATTGTTTTCATATTTTGCATAAATTTATCATATATAATATAAAACCATATCATACCATATATTATATATCGTACATTTCATTAAATAACTGAAGATGACAAAACTAATGGGTGAAAGTAGGCATCTGATGGAACCGAGTCATGCTTGATTGCGCCCATTCTAGCGTAATATGGAGCGCAAAGTCACGGGAATCCAAAGAAATTGCCATGGACGCAATGTAAATGCAATGTCCATTGGAATGGACGCCAGGTCTGAAAGGGTTAAAGGAACGAGTCGAGATCGATGTAGGCCTGCGCGTCCATGCAAGGGTTGGATATGGCCCTTTATCAGGGCACTTAGAAGAAGAGTGTGCATGAGAACGGTATTGGTCTAAGCGCCCATCCATTGGTCAGCCCCCCCTTCCGATGTCGAAATTGGCGTCAGGCAGTCACGATCGTCTATATATTGATATATTAGATGCTTGGGCCTCCGTGTGCATGTCCGCAAGTGCATGTGCGACGCCTTCATGCCTGCCTCCGGGTGTACGTCTCGCTCTCCTCGGCTTCCACTTTTTTTCCCCGGTCATTACGACAGTCGGATCTATTAATATTTTCGATAACGTAACAGCCCCCGGAGGGGGAAGAATTTAGATGACATAAGAGGACGAAAAAGACGATGGAACGCACGGGAATCGAAACTAGAACCTACTGCGTGCCGATCAAGGATCGTATATTTCTCGGGATCCGGAAAAGTCGTTTCGTAGGCACCAACACCCTCCCTGAATAGGGGGGGATGGGGTGGAGGTGCGCAATACGTAGAACGTCCGAGCGGTTGCTACGCAGAGCGTGGAGAGAGCCGTCGTCTAAACTCTCGAATGCCCGACGATGCTACATGCTTAGCCTGGGCCCCTGCGTGAAAGTTTAAGCATGGGTTAATCTCACATTCGTCTGATGATATATGGGTGAAAGCGGCCGGATACCATCAGGGTGGGACAGAACAGGATGACTTATTCTCGGATCGCAAATATGCCGCTGGCTGGGTCGTTTCCATCCCGTATCCATATTCGTATACAGGTATTTCACTCATAGGCTTGCACGCAAAGTGATGGAGATGGTCTTTACGGACGAAGTGGACAAGGTTGCAATCAATAGGGAAAAGTGCGATATATGTCGCGGTCGAAGATCCCATCCCGGCGAGGAAGTCATCCTCCCTTCAGCGGGATGAAAGGGGACTAGAAGAATCGTACGTGGGGACACGTAAATAATGGGAAAGAGCTGCTGCTGCCGATAGCGATGATAGCGCCACCGAGTTTTAGGGCCGCCGAACGAACTCGGGATTTCTTGCCGAAGAGTACATGGAAGTCTTCCACGGGTCGGCTAGTACCAGGCCGACTCGTGGTTACCGTTGTGGCCAAGAACGCGACCCTTTCGTGGTTTCAGAGAAGCAGATGTCGTTAAAAAATCGTGAGCCTACGTATAGAAAACGTGGAATATTCGCACGTTGCACGAGATATTGAATACTCACCTAATACGAGTTTTCTCAATTTAGGAGTCGCCCAACCGTCTTTCTCCAACCTCATAATTTTATTCGACACGAGAAGGAGTTCCTCGAGGCTTCCGCTCTGAAGGGGCGGGACGGACGCGAAGCGATTGAGCGGGAGGATGAGAGCCCTGAGTTTGGTCAGCCGGGGGAGGACGTCGAAGGGAAAATTCTCCATGTGACCGGAGAAGATTTCCAGCACGGATAGCGTCTCTGCGGAAGAGAGGAGGGCCGACGGATGGATCGTCTTCAAGGCGCTGTTGCGGATGCTGATCCTCTCGAAGGAGACGTTTTGTAATGCTCCTTCTGGGAGTTCTTCTACGTTGGTGTTCCGGTCCATCTTGAATTTCCTGCGATATTGCAAAAAATGGAAATGTGCATAATGCACGAAAATTGCTTTTTTTTTCTTTGTTGCTGTTTCCTTTTCCTTATAGGGAAATGTAGCAATAAGGAAGATCTTGGCCTCTTCTTCCATTATTTGTTCCCTCTCCTTTCTCAAATTTGCCGCAGTCTGCGATAGTCGTTTGAAAAGTCGATTTTCTGCTGCTGTTGTGCTAATTGATTAGCTAAATGGCAGATATCTCGAATCATGAGGGGATCATAATTCCCGCGGGAATTTCGGACCCATAGACGAATTTTCCGCAAATTGCGATAGTCGTTTGAAAAGTCGATTTTCTCCTGCTGTTGTGCTAATTGATTAGCTAAATTGCAGATATCTCGAATCATGAGGGTATCAATGTTCTCGCGGAAAATGTCAGACCCTCAGTCCAATTTTCCGCAGTGTTCTATGATCGTTAGAAAAGTTGAGTTTCTGTTGTCGTTATGTGCACTCATTTAGAAATTGGTAGAGATCTCGTATCATGAGGGGATCATAGTTATCGCTGGAATTTAAGACCCTCTGGATAATTTTCCGCCAATTGCTATAGTCGTTTGATGAGTCGATTTTCTGCTGCCGTTGTGGTAACTGATTCAAAATATGGCATAGATAGCGAATGAGGTGATTTCAACTGTACCCTAGATCCCTTGAATGACCGGACGAACTCTGAGGAGTACAGTCGGACTTTACATGTACGTCTTCTGAATTTTGTGCACTCTAATCATCTTTTTGATGTCTGGAGAGA